GGGATCTGAACGCGCAAGTTGGAAAGTTGTCCACTGATGAAATGCATTTTGGCGGTCACCACGGTGTAGGCTCCCGTAATGATAACCGTGAGCGGTTACTTCATGTGTGTGAAGATGCTCGCTTATTTCTTGCGAGCACTAACTTCCGACACAGCACACGCCAAAGCGTGACCTGGCGCCCACCAGCTTTGGACGCAGATCGATCACATTGCGATAACTTACCGATAGAGAGGCTGCATCCAAAACTGTCGCTCGATTTGGAGCACATGTGTGGACACCGATCATGCACTTGTATGTGCTGACCTGCGGATGCGCTTTGGCGGACGCCCACGACGACGTTGTGAGCGCATTGACACCAGCCAACTGGCGAAGCCGACTGTCCTGAATGCCTATCAAAGTACGCTGTCATGCGAGTTGGATAAACGCTCAGTGGATGCAATTGAAGCTTACTGGTCACATATTCACCAGACGTTACTTGCAGCAGGAAAATCCTCATGTGGTATGTCTAATCACCAACATGGACATTGGGTCTCTTCACAGTCTCTGGAACATAGATGCTCGCCGGCATATTCCGGCTGGAAGCGAACACAATGAAACTCGCAAAGAGCTCCGGGCAAAACTCCGTGCTAGCCGGAAGAGAGACCGCGAATCCTGGTGGTCTCATCGTGCATCAGAGATGGAAATGGCCGCTGCCCTTGGTAACCATCGTAAGTTATTCCGTCTGATACGGGAAACGGGCAGCAGGAGACCTAGTGTTAGTGAAACTATACGTAACGAAAGTGGACAGCCTATCCACAACTTATCAAAACGCTTAGAGCGTTGGGCTGAGCACTTTAAAAGGCAATTTAGTCGGTCGGAATTGTTAGATTTCTCGCCGGGCACTGATTGCCCCGCTCCCCGGAGACCTGCTCTCGTGGATGATTTACACGAATTACTAGTCAAACGGTGGGAGCAGGAAACTGTCCCAACCGACTGCAGCCGCTCCGTCATGGTCCCAATTTTCAAGGGAGGCTCACGATCGGAATGCGGCAGCCACAGAGGAATCATTCTGATCTCCATCGCCTCCAAATTGTTTGCCTCTGTCATCCTTCACAGACTGACTGGCATTCGTGAAAGCCAGATTCGCGAAGAGCAAGCTGGATTTCGTCGAGGTCGTGGCTGCATTGCCCACATCTTCACCTTGCGTCAGTTGTTGGAGCACCGCCACATATTGGCGGCCCACCGTTGTCGTGTTCCTCGATATCAAAGGTGCATTCGTTTCGGTGGATAGACATGCACTTTTGGACTGTTTACTCAGGAAAGGTGTACCTGACAAATATGTAAATATTATCCTAGCATTAGATGCGCGTAGCTCGGGCAGTGTGAGGGCTTACGGATGCCCGCTGTCACCTTTCCTCTTCAACTTCGCTGTTGACGAAGTCATGGAAATCGCGTTCACAGGACACGACTTTGAAGGTGTGGATCTGCTCCCAGGAGAACGACTTCTTGACTTAGAGTATGCTGATGATATTGCCCTAATCTGTGACAGCTCACAAACGTGTCAAGCGGCACTGGGCAGATTAGCACTAGCTGTCCGTCACTTCGGGCTTTGCTTCGCACCCTCGAAGTGCAAAGTGTTCCTCCAAGATTGGTTTGGACCGCCCCCTTACGCTGACCGTTGGTGGGGATCAGCTAGAAGCCGTCCAAAAATCCAACTACCTGAGAAGTTGTATCAGCGCCCGTGGAATTGAGGATGAGATCACGAACCGTATAGCAAAAGCTCGGGGCGCTTTTGCTAACCTTCGCCACTTATGGCGACGGCGCGACATCACTCTTGCCCTGAAGGGTAGAGTGTACAATGCAGCGGTACGTTTGACCCTACTGTACGGTTGTGAAACCTGGCCGCTTAAAGCAGCGGGCCTGAAAAGGCTAGTTACATTCGACCACCGGTGCCTTCGTAAATTAGCTCACATCTGGTGGGGGACACCGCGTGAGCAACGAGCGTGTTCGACGCCTTGTTTATGGCACAGGAAAAGGAACTGAAGCGCTCAGCACCGTTATTTCACGCACCAGGCTCCGATGGCTCGGCCATGTGTTACGCATGCCAGCCCACTGACTCCCGCGACGTGCGTTGTTTGCGCGCCGGGGGTGTGGATGGAAGAAGAGGGATGGCCAAGCGGTGACTTGGTCGAGAGGAATGAAGGCCCTCACTTCTGTGCTGGCCTCGGTCGGAGCGTCTCGGCTCCCTGGTTGGGGTCCGAAAGACGATGAACACGTTTGGTTGGACACACTTGCTGATATGGCTAGGAGCCGACCTCAGTGGCGTTCGTGCTGTGAGTCTCTTTGTCCCACCCCATCCCTCTTAGCCTCCCCCTCCAACCACGAGCTCATTACTTAGCCTTATATAATTTAGCATAGCAATTTTTTTGGTGCACAGCAGCCGGCTGGTAGCTTACCGGAACGATTCCTATCCGTTACCGGTATCTCAGCCGGCCTGCACCAGTTGCATTTTTTCACCTTTTTCTGTGTATTGCGGCACAGTAGCTGAGGTGTTCCCCACCTTTAGCTAACGAGTATGATGATGATGATGCTCCCGTGCTCACTCTCAAAGGTACACAACTTGAACGGGTAGACAGTTTCGTCTACCTTGGGAGCTGTGTTTCTGGTGACGGCACTATCAACAAAGAAGTTTCTCTCCGCATCGCTAAAGCTCGATCAGCATTTGTCAACCTGAGGCACCTGTGGCGTCGTCGCCACATCTGATTCTCGCTAAAAGGCCGCGTTTAGAGCGCATCTGTTCGCTCAGTGTTGTATGGGAGCGAGTCCTGGTTGATTCGCTTGGAAGATATGCGTCGCCTTTCTGCCTTCGATAACGGTTGTTTAAGGAGGATTACTCGTGTTTGGTGGCAACATCGAGTTGTAGTGGAAAGGCCAAACTAAAAGCGCTTAACTAAATAAAAGAACTCCCAGTCTATAAAGTAAGAATGCTGGACCTGAGCTTAGGTAAAGCACGACCCTCGGTAGGCTGTCAGTTAATCACACAATCAGGTCGGAAGACGAAACTTAGCACAATAATTCGACGCGTTAGACCCGATGGTCGGCGAACGAGGCTAGCAGACCGACGACGATCAACAGCACAACACGCGTATCCGAAACCAGAAGGCGAATCGAAACCCGAAAAAGTTGGTCAGTCAAAACAAAACTGTACAATAAATAATGGAAATGGGAATAGGAAGGTAGAATTGGGAACAGAGATATGTGCAAACGCTACAGAACTCCCCCGTAGAGCGTGAGTCATCGAGACAAAAGCTCGATACTTTTGTGTCAGTTATCGTAGTCTGAAAGGGGAGAACTTTACGTCCGAAGCGTGTTCAGTGATGCGAGTTCGAGTTTGTGTCGTGGGATGATTGGGGTGCAGGAGAGGGAACAGAAGTATCACACATGGACTGAGTAGGAAGCTTAATTGGGAAGGTGGGCTGGTCGGTGACAGGAATGTCCGTGGGTTTCGGTAGTGGTCGCGTCTCGATGTAAGTCGGCTTCAAGCGATCAATACTCACAGTATCCGGGTAACCATTTCTATCCAGCACAAAGTACTTCTCTTTCCGGGCAACAACCTTAAAGGGGCCCTCGTAAGGCGGTGTCAGAGGTTTACGGACGGAATCGACACGCACGAGAACGAAGGGCAAATGCGCAAATCCGGGTGTACCTGTTGACTCCGAGGACTGATTCGAGGTGGTGTTGGACGGATTGAACTGAAGTGTTACCTCAGGCGTGTGACGTAGGAGGTCGGATCAAATGCCCCAGTAACCCTTGAGTCTAGCACCATTTCTCCAGGAAGTCTGAGAGTAGTGCCAAAGACCAACTCAGCGGGACAACAGCTAATGTCTTTTTTTAATGGTGTTACGAATACCAAACAAGATAACCGATAGACGTTCTGACCATTGTGAGTTCGACTGTGAAGCAGTAATTGCGGCTTTAAGTTGGCGATGGAAACGTTCAACGATGCCAATAGCAGCTGGGTGGTGGACGGTTGTCCGTAGGTGGGAACAACCGAGCAAGAGGTTCATGTCACGAAACAAGGTCGAATTGAATTGGGGCCCTCTATCGGTAGTGATAGTGGCTGGCGTGCCAAAGACGGAAATCCAATTCTCAATGAATGTTCGCGCCACAGTTTCTGTAGAAGCATCACGTAAAGGCACGACAAGTGGCCAACGCGTATAACGATCAACACATGTCAATAAGCAGACAAAACCGTTGGATGGAGGCAAGGGTCCAACAATGTCAAGGTGAACATGTTTGAAACGAGCGTCGGGAAGAGCAAAAGTGCCGGGGACGGTAATCGTGTGACGGTGGATCTTGCTGGTTTGGCAAGTGATAGTGTTTGGCCCACTGCTAGACCTTGGGTCGCATGTCATGCCAAATGAAGCGATCAGTAATCAGCTTGACGGTGACTCGGATGTTCGGGTGAGATTCCATGCAGGTCAAAGACGATTCGGCGGTATTGTTGAGGGACAACAGGCCAGGGCTTGCCGCTAGAAATAGCACAGTAAATTTTGGAGTCTGAGCTAAGGATTGGCAACTGTGATATTTTGATTGATGGACTTGATCTCAATTGCACAAACTCATGATTTCCTTCTAAGTTGATCGTCTGCCGTGAAACTTCGTGAAGACATGTACGCGATATGGCATCGGCGACAACGTTATTAGCAGCATCAACATGGCAAATTCCGGTCGAAAACTGTGAGATATAATCCAAATGACGAAATTATCTGGGGGAGAAATGGTCGGATGAACCATGGAAAGCAAAGGCAAGTGGTTTATGGTCTGTAAGAATGGTAAACGTGCGACGTTCAAGCAGGTGCCGAAAATGTTTTGTAGCGAGATACATAGCTAAAAGTTCTCGACGAAAGGTGCTGTATCGCGTCTGTGCCGGCTGAAGTTTGCGAGAGAAAAAGGATAGCGGCTCTGGTTGAACGTTGATTACCTGCTGGAGAACAGCCCCAACGGCGGTCTGAGATGTATCAGTCTTGAGGATGAGTGGTGTCAACATCAGTCCTCAAATGACTAGGCGCGGTAGCGTTGGACAACGCGTGCTTGATCTTGTCGAATGCATCAATAGCTCCTTGAGTGGACTCGAATTTTGGTGACCTGCCTTGAAGTAAATCGGTCAATGGCTGGAGTAGCCCAGAGCAATCTGGTATGAAACGGCTGTAGTAATTCACTATGCCGAGAAAACGACGGAGACTTTTGAAAGATCGAGCCATGGAGTAGTCTGCAATCGCTTGTGCTTTCTCGGGGAGTGGACTAATGCCATTGCAATCAACTCGGTGGCCCAAAAAATCAATGGAAGTTTTGCCAAAAACATTTGTCAACATTGATCGTAACGCCGTACTGAGCAAGACGTTCGAAGGTCGATCGAAGATGTGACATGCTCATCATGATTGGAACTGGCCACAAAAATATCGTCAATGTAGGCGTAGACGAAGTCGCGTCTCTAAGGACTTGATCGATAAACCTTTGGAAAGTCTGTGCGGCATTTCGTAGACAAAATGGCATGCGAACGAATTCATAAAGACCGAATGGTGTGGTTATGGCGATCTTCGGAATATCATCGGGAGCAACCGGAATTTGGTAGTACGCACACATCAAGTTAATCTTAGAGGAAATTTTTCATCCATGTAAACCAGTTGAAAAATCAGGGATGTGCGGAATCGGATATCTATCGGGGACGGTAGAATTGTTTAGCGCCCGGTAATTTCCGCAAGGTCTCCAGTCGCCATTGGACTTTTTGGGAACCATATGAAGCGGGGAGGACCATGGGCTACTGGAAAAACGAACGATACCGAGACGAAGCATATGTTCGAACTCTGCCTTGGCAGTAGCGAGCTTGTCTGAGGTAATCCTCGATGTCGGGCGGTTACTGGAGGTCCATGTGTTAAGATGTGGTGCGTAACTTCGTGCTTAGGCTCAGGAAAGTCATTAGACGATTGATAAAGAGCAGGAAACTGCAGCAATAGTTCGGTGAACACATTGTCGGCGGGCAACGCCAAGCGAAGACCAATCGAACTGATCGAAGTGAGTTTACCCGAAACGGACAAGGATGTCAAACTATCGCATAGTTTACGGTTACGCAGGTCCACGATCAGGCCAAACTTGGTGAGGAAATCAATATCAAGGATGGGGCATTGAATGTCAGCGATGAGAAAAACAGAGGGAAAATTTCGACGGAGACCAAGGTTGAAAGTCAGCATTTTCTGGCCGTATGTATGGATCTTGGTATTGTTCGCCGCCTCCAATGTCAGCCCAGTTGGAAGTAGGTTGTTTTTCTGCAGCACAAAGAATAACGCTGACCTCGGCACTGGTGTCAACCGAGAAGTATGAATTGGTTGAGGGATCGTAGACGTAAAGTAGGCGACTATAAGATTGGTCAGAGGCAGCTGTCGCCATCACTGGCTGGCGTGGAGGTTTCCCTGCTGCGATTTGTGAAATGCCTTCGGGTGGTTACAACCAGGTCGACAAAATGGTGATGGTACCAACAGAAATGACGTGTTGAACTCATGGCGGGACTACGTCTACTTTGAGAAGAGCGTCTAGGGCTTCTACCACGGTAGCGATAAATGCTCGAGATAGCGAGTTCTAGCTTCGATAACCGCTCGGAAATGGCTTCAGTCGGGTCAGTAATATGATCGGCGTTAGCGGTCGACTCAAATGAGTGACACGCTGCGTGTTTATGAAAGCAAAGATGAAGTTTGTCTGCTGTCTCGACCAGCTTGTCCAAAGACAAATCACCTGCGAACACAGCGAGAACTGGTGTTCGCTGAAAGACATTTCGCTCAGAGCTGTCGCAGAATTGTCATCGATCTCAAAGGAACCGACCAACGTACGCATGTGCCTGAGTTGTGACGGCGTGCGATCGCCTAGCTCAACAACGGAAAGTAACTGTTGAAGTCTAGCTTCGTCGGAAGCCGTGGAGCGCTTCAAAACGGTAGGTTTCCGCTTATCGTAAGGTGCGTCAGCCGAAATCGAATCGAGCAAATATTTAAGGTCAGTTGCGAAGTGGGTAGGAAGCTGAGCAGTAACATGTGCGAACATTAATGACTGCGAAGTAATACGACGTATGCGAAAGAGCATCCAATTGTAAAGATCACACGTGAGGATTAGATGAATCAGAGGCAGGTAAGGAGAGACCAACAAAATTTTCTGAATTGTCAGTGCTGAGCTTACAAAAAATAGAAAACGGGATTACCAAATATATAGTGGAAAGGCCAAACTAAAAGCGCTTAACTAAATAAAAGAACTCCCAGTCTATAAAGTAAGAATGCTGGACCTGAGCTTACGTAAAGCACGACCCTCGGTAGGCCGTCAGTTAATCACACAATCAGGTCGGAAGACGAAACTTAGTCAGCACAATAATTCGACGCGTTAGATCCGATGGTCGGCGAACGAGGCTAGCAGACCGACGACGATCAACAGCACAACATGCGTATCCGAAACCAGAAGGCGAATCGAAACCCGAAAAGGTCTTTTATCGGTTGTTGGTCAGTTCAAGTTCAGTTGGGACCGGAACGATAGGATAATCCCGTGAATGATCCTTCCTTTGCGTATTGTTGGATCGGAAATGGATAGGTCTGCATGCGATGTTGTAAAGCCTAAAACAAAGACCGCATCACACCCTGTCCCACCAGTCACCGCCCACATTTTCCTGCCCAGCAGTCCCTGTCAGGCCGGGTTATGTAAAGAGAGTGAAAGGCAAGCTAAGAAAACAAGAGGAGGAATGTCAGCTAAATAATAAATATACCAGGGTGAGAGGAAATAGAAATAACGAACGGAAAGTTGAAGATAGAAGTCGGTTAGAAGAAGCTCGAAACCTTCTACCGTAGACTCCCTAATGACGTGCTCCGAAAGCGAGTTCCAACGTTCAATAACCTGACGCGAGAAGGGAGTTGCCGTCCTTACCCAGTCAGAACGCAGTTTGTGCAGCTTCAAAGGGTGACCTCGGAGACTAGACAGCTTGGCGGGATCAAATAGCCAGGATAAGCCTGGACCGATCTTACCCGTTAGGGTACGGTAAGTGAGGAGCAAGTATCTTCTAATTCTGCGGTAACGCATTGAGTACATACCCAAGCTAAGCAAACGTTCGGGATACGTTTGCCCCCGTAATCCCGGCATTAACTTTGTACCCACTCGCAAAACCCTCTCCAGTTCCATTTTGTCCCTTAAAATACAAGGTGGACAAGGCTGGATACAGTAGTCCAAGAGAAGTTGCAAAAAAGCTGAAAACAGCTTCACAAAGATATTGGCCGTTAGGACACCGAAGGAGCGGCGAATAAACTACATCATACGGAACCCTCTATAAGCAGCCTTCCTCCAATTGTTCCCAGAGTCATGCACTGAGGTATGGACGGTAGCTAGATCAACCTGCTGAGTGACAAGAGGGATTTCACTCCCACGAACTACACAGCGCGTGGGGGGACTAGCACGTTCAATGCGGAGGACAGAACATTTCGCCTGATTTATAGGCATCAACCATAAGGTTGACCAATCCCAGAGCCTATCCAAGGCACTCTGAATTGCCTCAGAGTCCTCAGGGATATCCACAATATTCCAGAGCTTGAGGCCACCAGCAAACAATAGCGACAGTACTTCAAGCTCCTGAGGCATGTCATTGACATAAATTGTGAAAAGCAACGACCTTAGAACCGAGCCCTGCGAACGCCACTAAGAACAGCTTGTCTAAGCGAAAGGCTACATTCCGATCGTACACACTGTTCTATCCCTTCTAGAAAAGCAGACACTCATTTAAGGGCGGCTCCGGATACCCCATACGATCTCAATTTCAATGAGTCGTTGATGTGGGAGAGTATCAAAAGCTTTCGAAAAGTCAACGAAAAGCAAGTCGATAGCGTAAACGTTGTCTACTGCCTCACGGGCTACGAGTAAATTTGCCAGACACGAAAATCGCTTACGGAATCCGTGCTGTGCCGCACTGAGAAAGTTAAACTTAATCAGGTGATTCACCCCCGAATCCCTGACCAATTTTTCGAACAACTTAACTACTACACTTGTTAAGCTGATAGGCCGGTAGTCAGCGGACAGAGCTCTGACACCGCCCTTAAAAATCAGACATTTGATTGCCTTCTTCCATTCCGAGGGTAAGGCACAGCTGTCGAGTGATATTGTAAACACGCATGTCAGAGGTTCACTTAGCTCAGCGGTCAATTTATGCACCAGCTTCGGATGAATTGAATCGGGGTCAAAAGCTTTGGAAGGATTTAGCCCTTGCAACAGCCCGAAGATCTGTATCTCCGTTATGCTGATTTCAGTTAGGCAAGAATCCTCCGGGACTTCTGTGACCAGCTCAACCTGAGGTAGAGGCCACACGAGAAAAGACACCAGTATACTGTTCGCTAAGTATACAAGCCTTATCATAGTCGGTATGCCCACATGTCCCGTCCGCTCGTAGTAAAGCCGGTAGAGTAGAGTTTGTACCGCTGCGTCTTTTTACGTGGCTAAGGAGCTTCTTTACATATGTTACGGCTGAGGCAGCCAAATCCTCCTCGTACTGCAGACGAAGCGTCCTAAGATGTTGTTTACATTTATTTCTAACCGCTTGATAGCTTTCGTAGGCGCTGGTTGATGAAGCCGCTTATGAAGTTCGCCAACACTTAGAACGCTTCCTGAGCAGGTATTTACCTGTATGATATATCCAAGGAGGCTGGGCCCGTCTCTTAATGAGTGGGGTGTGCGGAGTAGAGATCTCGGTGAGGTACGCCTTAAATATCTCCCAGACTGTCTCAACGGTGTCAGCCACTGTGATAGCGCAACGAAGAGCTGAAGCTTTGTCTAGTATTGCGTTGAAGTCCACCCGCCAAATATTTAGACATGCCTCAGCGGGGGCTTGACGGTACTTAGTTGGGACACATCGAAAGGATATGCAGACGTTCACTGGTTCCTAAAGGACAGCCGTATGTAATATCACTTACGAAATCGTGTAACTTCACAAAAGTGAGATCCAAGGTAGAGGGAAGTTGGTCGCTCCTATATCTAGTCGGGAGGTCCACGGACTGATGCAAAGGAAGTTGCAACGGTAGCTCGAGAAAATCAGAAGCGAAAGTGCCCACCACCGAACTGCAAGATAGATCAGCCCAGCAAACTTCAGGGAGGTTGAAGTCTCCCAGTAGCAGACAACTATTGGCATCCTGAGTGTGAATAAATTCAATAACCTCCCCGGAAATACTTCCAGGACTCCGTAATACCACTACAACTGTAAAATGAGCGGAGGAAGTGCACACAATAGTCGACAGGGCTTCAACAGTTGGGTCCGGAGACTGAAAAACACAGGTCCTCAACACATCAAGTTCACAACTCACATAAAGAGCGACGACCCCATCTTGGCGGCTAACGAAGCGATCATATCTAAGCAGTGCGTAGCCAGGTAAACAAACTTCACCATCTGTGATATCCAGGGATAACCACGTTTCAGTGAAAGCAAGTACAATAAATAATGGAAATGGGAATAGGAAGGTACAACTGGGAAGAGAGATTTGTACAGTCGCTACAATGTTAATAGTAATGAGACGAGGTAAACTCACATTCGACGATAATAGTCCTAGCTTCTAGCCCAGGTCTTCAGAGGGCACACCTTGGGGGCATGGGCCTGGTGATCACATGCTGCACTCGCTCAATCCTTTGCACATCGCCCCGGGTGATAGGACAGTATGCGGGCGAGCCGTACTCTAGCAGATAGCACATGGGTAAAACGAAAAGGCGAATGGTTGCTGCATACTTCTTGATGAATGAGTGAAACAGACCAATGAAGTGTTTCCTACCATTATTTACCATAGTTACCGAATTGCACTTCTTTCAACTATCACTGTTAACCTTTCTTCTCTAGTCCCGAATGAGAAGGGGAACAGGTGCAGTTCTGCTGTAGTGTTACAGTCTGAGTCGACGAAGCCCCAGTGCCTAAAATACTCTCGTCACAGACAACACAGTCAGTCTATGCTGGAGAGGTCCCTGAGCAACACGCAAGATGAGTATCGGAAAAGAGTAAGGTCAACAGGGTGTTGACGTGCGTTGGCTTTCAGTAACCAAAATTAACAGCGTCCAAGTGGTTATAAAATGAACTGTACCTAACAAACAGTCTTGCAATTGGCTGCACACGATCAGAGATGCTGCCGCAGAAACCATGGGGCAGTCTGGAGGGGCATCGTGGTTAAAGTCGGTGTATGCGGTAGTGGCAAAAACCACTTGTTCGCAGTCGGGCTTACGCTACAGGCGAGTGCAGTCATTAGGCCAAAGAAGGCTTCTATCGTGAATACAGAACACTAGCAAGTGCGCAAGTACGTCACTCAATTCACCCTCAGGTTACATTAAGGAATTATGGTTCAATTTCAAAAGCACGGATAATGGTGATCGTGCATCGCGCCGATTAGATAATCGAAACACAATAGGTTACAATGTGCCACTAGGTTTTCCCCGGTGGTTTGACGAGGATGGAACCCAAAAGACCAGAGAACCATAAGTTTCGGATGGCGTAGCCCCGTGTCCGACTGCAGTTCGTTACAGAATACGCTCCTCAACTCAGATCATGTGCAACAAACAAGCCCCTCGTCTGATTGCTCTGACGAGATTCAGTTCAAGTAAAATTATGGTTCAATAACGTTTGCGGATTCTTCCAACTAAACCGTGCCATTGATCACCGGAAGATCATGCATCAGCAGGAGCAGCGTCGAAGTCCTAACAAAAAATGCTATCTGGCTCGTTCAGAATGAGACAGGCTTGGCGACTTGTCCCATTTGCAAGGCACGTGCCCTGTATTCGATGTCGGTCGAAGTTAGCATCTATTAACAGGCGAGAGAAGAGACTGGCCTGGCTAGCGGATACGAAAAGTGCGATACCAGCAGCTTTACTACCACAAAGTTACCGTTCGCGGATGTGCAGAAGACATGAGAATGCTCTGATAAACACGAGTGTCCGCAAGTTATCCTTATGAGTGACACAATCACTGACAGTTGGAGAGTTGTAAGGATGACGCCTGTGCCCAAGAACGGATCTCAAAGCTATTGTTCGATTGCATGTACGTCGGTGATGTCTTTGAGAAACTACTTGTACCTTGGATCTTCAGGTGCACCAGTTTGCCCATAAACCCAACCGCCACACACTGGATGCTGTATCGCACCTTAAACATTCGGTATCACCGACACTGAATGAAAAATGCACTGCGGTGCGCCTACTGCCTCTCGGTTATTCGAATGCTTTTGGGAGTGTCAACAGATCTATTCTACTCAACCAGATACTCACGGGTGGGGGTAAATACAAATGGCTGCAGCGTGAGCACAGACTATTTTACAAACCGCACCCATTTCACCTAGCTTAACGAAAAAAATCCTCTACACTTTGCTCTTATCATGGTGTTTTACAAGGAGCGATTTTCTATCCTTTACTGCTTTCATTTTATATCGAAGACCCATATACCGTTATTGCATGCAAATATGCACATAATGTCGTCATAGGATGTAGATCTCCCACCGTTGAGACATCTACTCTTCAGTGTGGTCTGAATGAATTTGTACTGTGGTCATCGACCCGGTCTCTCATTCTAGACATTTCTAAATGCGGTGATGTAAAATTTTCTTTTCTTTGAATTGATCAACCGCAAGCTATTTCGATTGCCACTTCCTCATTGGGTGTGAGTGACTAAATCATACCCAGGACATCGACTGTCAAATATCTGTCAAATATATGCAACATTTGCCAAAGCCAGAAGGTTATCTTTTTACACCCTCAGACTAAGAATGCTTTCCGTAGCTCGAGATTTGATTTCTATATTTGTGACTGCATACAACATTCTGTTTCGCTGGGTTTACTGTTCACCAGAAATTTTTCCTGGGCTACTAAAGAAAGATTACATATGGTTCTTACGTTCGTTAAACATTATTGCCAGATGCAGTGGACTGTCTAGAGAGGCATCTGTTGATTTTATTGTCAAGAAACATGTAGACGCTTGTATTAACTTTTCCTGTAGAATTCTGAAACGACCATTTTCACCCACCGCATGGACCGCTGTCGAAAGCGCTATCTGTTTCTTCTACACACTCTAAATTCAGACACTTATTTTCTCGTACGACTTCTCACCGCAATTCTATCCTATCGTATTTGTCACGATTATTTGTGGACTCAATGAACCTTATCAGCATGATGCGCAATTGTTTGCTTGAGTGATACACAAACATTTCGCGTTACACAACTCATTTGCTTTTATCCATTAATCTCATGTATTTCACCATTCACAATGATAGTGTAAAAAGTTATCCAGGTGCATAAAGCCTATTTTGACTTGAATTGACTTTCACCTGTGATCAAAGGTGCGACCTTACCGGACCAGCGTAATCGGATCAGGTCAAAGTATCGGTAGTACGCCAACAACATCAGTGATTTCATTCGGATTGAAATACCCACCCGCACACGCATAGCTTCGAATCATTGGCTCGAAGAGGACAAGTCGAATGACCGAAACATCGGTCGAAAAACAGTGATAGGTGGCGGATAGCAAAAGGAGATGACGAGAACCTTTTGAAAACACCGAACGCAATAGAAGCGCAACAACAAGTTATACCGGTGCGTCACTGCATTGAAGCCATAAATAAACGGGGACGATTCTACACATAAGCGGTGGGGCGGGGTTAGCGTAGAGGAAAACACAAACAATACGTAGAATTAAGGTATATAAACCTTGCTAACGCTGCTCGGTCACCTTAAGATGGCGTAACATCAGCGAGGCTGCTCCTCTTCAATTTAACGAATATAGCTTTTTCTGTGAGCTTTCTCTCAATAGATCTGTGTTGTGTTTATCTGCAGATGGTAATAATCTCCTTCGTTCATGTCAACTAGAGTTAACGCGTAACTGAGCGACCGGATCAAAGTTTGCTGGGTGCAGTGAACTGAACGGTCCAAAGTGACGACAGCAGACTTCAGAAATTGCATCAGAGATAGTGATTGTCATAGAAGACAAATCAATGCCGAATGGATATGTGCACACTGCAGAAAGGATATTGAGGTCAAAGAAGAAACAAAATTAGAATACGCCAACAAACAAATTCGAGCTTACATGCATAGTGTAATCGGCTGCGTCGATGGACAATTCGGCAGTCGCACCGAAAACATGGTTCGCACTACGACCGACTGGATCCTGACGACCGAACGATGGGATGAGGGCTTTCGTCGAAAGATCAGACCAATCACGTGCACCGTTTACATGGTTCGTAGAATGGAGCAGATCCTCAGATCGCTGTGCTGAATGCAAGGACTGATATTTGATCGGGTTTTCAGATGCCAAAATTGCACCCTGATCGAGAGTGACATGGCACATGGATCCGTTGCCGCCGCCGCCGCCTCTGGAATTGATGAATATCGGCGAAGTGGCCTTGTCAACCGGGTAACCGGATTGAGAAGGACAACCATCCCATCGAATCGCTTCACCGTCATCATCATCCTCATCCAAATTACACGGCCGAACAAGAGTGTGAGAGAGATGAGAATCCGCATTGAGCACAGTAGTGGAGCAGGGGACTGAATGCTCCAATTCATCATCAACGACGAAAACGCCTCCATCTTCATTGGTGGAAATGGAACAATTTCTTGAACAGGGCCTCTCGAAGGAAAGGTGTCGTTCGCCCAACACTAACCCTTCAGATGGAGACAAACTGCGTGCAACGAGCTGATCTGTACGAGAATGCTCCACAACATTAGTAGGCATTAAATCCGATAGAAAGTGGACATTGCGGAATGAAGGCGGTTGAACAGTGTCGTCTGTGACTGAAGACAAAGGCAAAATCGCCACGCCATGTTCATACCCAATGGATTTGGGAGATCCAGCTTTAAATGTATCACAACATGAACTGGAAAGGCGAGTATCTGCGTCGTATTCGTTGGTGAACACCCCAAAGGAATCGTTTGCGAAAGGGCTGACAGGGAGAGTGGCAACTGTATCTGCGATGTCAAGAGGATGTGGGTGAATAGGACTTGTGTCAGACACCGTATTAAGTTGGACAGGTGATCCATGAGAGAGGGAAGTGACGGTGAGATTTTCGTCAGCAAGGTCAACCATTCCACAACCATCACAGACGTCGGCACCAAGTAGTCGGTCTGCAGAAGAGGAACCACCGCATGAATTGATTTCAGGTGAAGACGCACGGGCTGGACGAAGGGAAGCAGAGGACTGTTGATCAACATGGGAGTCAGATTCACCCAAGACAGAACAGGAGGCATTCTCCGGAGAACTGTTGAGAGTGACGACACCTGTGGTTATCCGGCGGGTGGGGAGCAAAGCCGACCGATATAGGGAATTCCATAGCCGCAAAGAGGGGAGCCGCCAGTCCGGCTCTAACAAACGCTGAATTAGAAGATAGGAACACAGATGGAACAGAAACAACTTATAAGGAGACATTTGGAATTCGCGGAAATGGTGTTGATTGAAGCTAAACCTCACGCAGACTTGTGATGAGCCATAAGACACAGAATAAAACAGGTAAACAATAAGACAGAAGTTAAGAAAGTTGCACCGGACAAACATAACGGAGTAAGACGCGAAGCCAAAATTAACTGGGTGTCTTCCCGAACAGCGATGATTCGCAGTTAGATATTTTATATATCTACCATCTGCAGTACAAAACGTCACTTGGTAGGTTGGTCAACTTTGGTCTATGAAACGGTGTGGAACTGATAGACATGTACACCTTAGAAGCAACAACATGTCACGTAACATATCGCGCTAAGTTTCGCAACAATCTTACTCTCTCCTTAGACTGCGGGAAATCATCAGTAGTGATCTACCTAGACATGCAGAAAGCATTTGATCGCGTATATCACGAGAAGCTTATAGACAAAATCACATCTGTTGGAATCAGCGAACTATTGCTATCGTGGTTCAAGTCATACCTTTCAAACCGAACTCAGGGGGTTAGAACAAATGATCAAAATTCCCAGCCTAGACTAGGGATGAGTGGCGTAGTTCAGGGCAGCGTTATCGGCCCGCTACTCTTTTTATTGTAAAGTAACAATATATTTGACGGAATACACTACGGTATCGCGTATATATATTTGCTGATAATGTGAAAATTGTTTATACCTTTGATGTTACTGACACGGACCACACAACGAACGCCATTATATCTGATTTAAAAGCCCTTGAGTTATGGTGCGCCAAATGGGATAGGTCATTCTCAACCGAGAAGTGTAGTGCCCTATCGTTCCGTTGTACAATCGCACCTGGTACCCTGATTCTGTGTGGAAAACAAATAACGTGCAACCGTGCAGTAAAGGATTTAGGCCTTCATTATTCTGCCTCACTAAACTTTGTAGAGCACACGACAAATGTAGTCGTTAGAGCACATCGAAGCACTGGATTACCATTCAAAACATTGAAAATACACGATTGCACAGCCACCCTATACAAGATAAAAAAAACCCGACCGCTTTTAGACTATTGTGCATTGATCTACAGTAACACAAGAAAAGATGACTGTCAGAAACTGGAGAAATTGTAGACATTGTTCATTAAACGTATGCTAGGATTGTCCTTTCGAAGCTTTTACGCACAACGCTGCAAGGATTTAAAATTAGAACCCGTATGGCTCAGACGGATGAAACATAATAAACGCCTATTAATCGATATCATACACAATCGAGTTCATGCCCCAAACCTAGAGTTAAAACTCAAAGATGGGTCAAAGTATAGTATAGCATAGTAGTAGTATAGTATAGTAAAGTATATTATTCGAGACAGCCAAAACTTGCTAAAAATAGAAAGGCCTAGAACTCAGGCACGTACGAACTTTTATGGGAACGTTTACGCAAAAATAGGGAACAGGCTGCCGTCCAAGATGCGAGAATGTAAATCACCTGAAATTTTTCGTAAGGAGATCCGCACCTTGTTAACTAATGTAAAGGCCACGAAGCTGCGGAGACAAAAGGTCACAGAGGTGGTGGCATACGAAAACGGTCTAGCAGATATCTAAGATATGGTATCAATCTCCATTATCCTATCCTCCCGTATTCGACATTCTGACACCTGGTAATTATTGGCCTCCAGAAAACATGCTGGTTTGCAGCATAACAATATAGGAAAGTACCACACTGAATCGTGGAAAACAAAACTTACAGATATAGCTAATAAATTTTGACGAATTTCTTCTAGTCTGCGACAATCGTAACATTTATTTATTTATGAACGAATCGTTTTCCGTAGTTCTAACCAATTCTCTTTCCTGCCTAGAGGTATCAGCACAAAAATACAGATTGCCTCATGACATCCGTCAATGTCAATTCCTACATACCTCGGCTGCCAGTGATGTATCATCGATGCGGAACCGCTTTTCTTGTGACAGCTTGAACAGAAACTGTTTTCAACCATGAATTTATAAAATTAGACCAGATCAATCACAACCTATATCTCATCCTGTTGAAATATAAAATGTTATTATGATTATTTTTGTTTACTTTTTCTTCGATACATTCGTTCTGTACTAAGGAATAGTTCTCCTACTTCTCCGAGAGCAACAGCCCAGGAGCAGATAATAATTCTCAGTACGCCGTGATATCAAATATTGTATATGACGAACACATGCAGCTGTTTGATAAACCTGAAGATTTCTTTGAAAACTGCCTCGCATATCGATAATCCGAGCAACCACCAATTAGGAGGATCCCACCGCACAATTTGATCGAGAAATCCGTCGGTCTTACTTGACAGTACCTAAATACAATGATTCCCTATCTATCACCATTACCGTGATTACTTTTCGCTCACTTCATATTAAATATTCTTTGATCCATTGTTGGCCACCCCTGGACCGATCTTTTGAGGTGACGGATTTTAGCTTCCCAACTAAGATGTGCACCCATGTGAGGCAAAACGACAAAGACTCTCCGACGAGTAATTAAAGTGCTTGACTCAAAAAACCGTTTGACGGTACGGGCTATATGGCCTAATTGCAGTCAGTGTGGAGCGGACTACGGTCCAGCCACCGTCTTGTGTGCACTTGATTCCCCAAATACAGCGTGCTTGTGTTTGCCTATGAAGGAGTGTGGGCCGGCTCCGTTGATGAAACGTGGCTCCCATCCACATGCCTCCCGGTCTTGTTCCTTCGGGTTTACACTGGATATGGAGTGTGTCGTTGCAGCTGTGTGTGGTGCAGCGCAAGCCACCCATGGTCCCTTTTGTAGGCGGGGGTGTCCTGTGGCTCGCCACAATGACAGGCAAATCCGAAACCGGATGCCGCCAACCACATATATATATATATATATATATATATATATATATATATATATATATATATATATATATATATATATATATATATATATATATATATACGGTGGCTGGATCGTAGTCCGCTCCACACTGACTGCATGGAACTACTCTTCGAACCTAACATGGCCACAAGGACCGTGCACCCCGTCCCTTCCGGCAACGACCAACTGTCTCCTGGAGCCAGTATGAACGATGTAGTGGGTAATAGACAGGTAGGCACCTTGTCAACATACACATCAAGCGCAGCCACACCGGGGATATCAAGCAACAGCCAATCACTTGAAATAACAGGATGAAAAAAAATAGATCCAATAATGCATACAGATACGGTGGCATAACCCTTCGCAAAATTAGCATATGAAGTAAGTTGGTTAGCAATGAAACCGCGATAAGGAAAAATGTCCGCAAGTTACTTAAAAATACTACAAACGCAACAAAGTTACCGAAGATAAGCGCAATTAGTATAAGCAACGTGGCCAGTTAATAGAAGATTATTCAGGTAGGCAGAACAAACCAAATAAAGTGGAATGAAATTTAGCCAGCTTAAAAAGACCTAGTTTAAGTGTAAATTGGTTTAGCCCGACTGCGGTGAAGAAGCATCAAGAATGTAACATCAGCCTTATATATATATATATATATATATATATATATATATATATATATATATATGCTGTGCCTCGCACTGTCGAAGAATATACTCTATTTATTTATTAAAAATAAGATGGTTTCCAGAGAGAGCAAAGCGATCGACAGTAAAAGACATAGGTGTAACACAAAGTATGGAAGCAACTCGAAGAAAACGGTATCGAAAAAAGCGGTGGAAGATTCAACATACACTGGAACTGGATGCAAATGTAGAGCGTTCATCAACATCGTCATACAGGTTAGCTGGAGTGGAAAACACCTCAGCTATTGGTCCACAATACATGAAAACAGACGCGACACAGGCACGACAACTGGGCGATTAGTCACGGATGGGCATCGTTCTGGAGAGCTATAAACTGGTTTTTGGTGTCACAAAAACGTTATCCGTCAAAACTGAGACCGTGGTCAGAGGGACAAAAGCTCAGAACACGAACGCCCCGGAACTCATCTGCTAGCCAGGTCAACAAGTGTATCCAGTCAGACGAATTCATCATCTTGCGGACGCCAACCGGGGAGCCGAGAGGCTTCAACCGAGGCCAACATCGAACTAATGGAAATGCAATCCTGTAGACTGTCGTCGGTTAGCCTCCATTACCCTTTTTCCATCCACATCCCCGGCGCGCAAACGCACGAAGAGGGATTCGGTGGGCTCGCATGCGCAACATGTCACCCAGCCATCAGAGATTGATTCGTGACATAACGGTGCTGACCGGTCCACATTCACTTCCTGTGCTATAAACAACGCGTCGAACACGTTCATCGCTCACACGGTGTTCCCACCAGATGCGAGCCAAACTATGAAGGCACCGGCGGTTGAACATAATTAGCTTCTATGTCTGCCGATCTAATGGGCCATGTTTCACAGCCGTACAGTAGAGTCGAACGTACAACTGCGCTGTACACTCTACCCTTCAGGGAAAGATTGATGTCACGCAGGGGCCATAGGTGGCGAAAGTTAGCAAAAGCGCCTCGAGCTTTTGCTGTGCGGTTCGAGATCACGTCTTCGAGTTCACAGGCGCTGATACAACTGCTTGGGCAATTTAATTTCTCAACGAGTTCTAGCTGATAACCACCAACGGTCAGCACAAGAGGCGGTCTCTGTCAAGCTTAGCAAGTCAAGTTTAGCATTTTGCGAGTGCTAAGCAAAGCCCGAAACGGCTGACAGCGAGCACTAATGTGTCCAGTACTGCTTGGCATGTTGGAAAGCTGTCAAACATGATGGCAATGCTATCAGCATATAAGTAGTTTAGGAGTTCATCTGTGAGCAGATCCACACCCTCAGTCGAGTCAAATGAACGTCGTCTACCTTGCCTTTGTCGATGGAGAAGTTAAAGATGAAAGTTGACAGCGGGAATCCCTGTCTCACAGCGCTGGTAATATTGAAGGGGAGTGACAGGTTGTCGTAAGCCCTCACCCTTCCCGAGCTGCGAACGTAA